ATAAAATATCTGGAAATTCTTAAGTAGCTGCACAACTGGCAGTTTCTCGAGAAGGTTTCATCCCCATGGAGTACACGGCGGAACAGTTGTCTTCCTGGCCACAGATATGATGTCAGCATTGCACGGCACAGAGCACCAAATGTTTCTTATCTTAAGATACGGGCTGTATCTTATCTGAGGGAACGGAAAGGTGTTCCTAGACACACCTGAGAGGAGGACAACGTGCCTCAGTGTTCCTTAACTCAGCCGACTCTGAGGTTTGCCGTGTTTTCGGTGACTGCCGAAACCGAGATGTTACTACGGACGGACAGACCTGTGTACTGTGAGTAATGCGAGCGAGTTTTGTGAATAAAGTGACACGTTAGTTTTGAGGGGTTTGAGATTATCAGAATGGTGACTATGAAAATTTGTCTTCTGTTACGTGCGCGGTGTTCTCTAGCAGACTGTCATCGACGTTTCGTACGAACGTACTGCTTCCATCTTTAGGGTCGAAAAGTAAGCAGAGCAAGCAACAAGCAAAGATCAACCAGGAAGCTGAGTTCCTTCGGAAATGATATGCCGAAATTCTATATACGTTTATGATCTACGCTTGTCTCTCCATGGTGCTTCTCATGGCTTGTTCGAATGGTTCATTATTTATCGTCGTGTAACCAAAACCTGGCGTAGATTTCGCTCAGTTTCCTTGCTGGTGTTGTATATTCATAAACAAGAAGTTCTGGGAAGAACTAATCGCCTGCTTTCTTTCCACTACAAGTTTGGGTATTTGATAAGAAAAATATGGCAAATCTTTATTATGTATGCGCAGGTCAATAAAACAGCAATATACACTTGAGCTTTGTAGAACCCAAATTGTGATTGTATTGACACCATAAAGTTTATTTTGCCAGAGTCTCGTCAGTGAGAACAGGGTGCACCACAGTAAGGTGAAGATGTCAGAGTCAGGGTCAGAATTACTTTACGACTGGCGATTTTCGGCCAATCAGTTCGTCTTGGCGCCATGCCACTTGAAGCTCACGACCAGCGATTTTTATTCACCTGAACTCTTGCGGTCATAGTCCTTAGTAACATCCTCTCTGACGAGAGGAGGGGTCTCTCATTTACAATTGATGCTGACCCTCGTCAGTGCAGTGATTCTTGGGTCCGAATCCCCGTGGGACTCATGACCATATTTTACTGCCTCAGATTCGAGACTTCCCTAACCTGGAGAGTCAGGTCCCCGTGTTTATATCCCCCAAGAACTGGGTGACCCAATTATATCCCTAGACACTGGGTTCCATTTTCGTCGCCTCCTATGACTCGCAGGGCTACGGTGGAGGTATTCGAACCAGCCTCCACACGAGCTATTCAGGTGAGGATGGCTGTAGGCTAGGCGAGGCTTTGTGAGACTCGTCATTATCCCTTGCACCCCTCGGAAATATATGCCTATTCTCTCGCATGGTAATGTGCAATGAAATGTATTTTTATTGTGCCCATTGCTGTATATGAGACTCGTATATCTCTTTCCGTGAATTTCTTGTCGGATAAATAATGTATCTTAATCTTGAGTACAATATATGAAAGATGGGCTGAGAATGCTTACATGAAAGTCCAGACAGGTTTCTGGTTGCTGGCTGCTGACTCATAATACTGTGCTTTAACAGACTGTACAATCGTCAAATCCATCATACTCGTATTTATCCACAACAATTTCACCACCTCCTATATGTATACGTGGTGTTCTAAGCAGATAAGGTTGCCCTGATTCCCTGATAATTGGTACTAAAATGTACATGGTTACGTAAATAATTAAATCATTTGAGAACTTGACCACATAATCTTTTAGTCGTTTGGAAATGTAACTTTATTTTTTACCGTATTCCGATAGCTTAACTTAAAAAAAATATGTGTGTGTGTATGTTTGTGTGTGTGTGTGTGTGTATGAATGTTTGTGTGTGTTTATGAATGGGTCCATTAAGTGACATTTCCATGGAGTGAGTGTGTTTATATAAGATCAAGCATATGGCTTCAAATCAAGATGTTTAGCGGCTGCTTCCTTGGAATTACCGCAAGAAAGTATTTGCGAGATAAGCTGTTTAAAGTGCCTGACATAACATAACCTTCATATGGAGCTAAATGACATAGGTTTAAGCATTAAAATAATATGAAAGCTATTGTCCAAACAATCTGATCGGCTGCAGTTAGAACTAGAACAAGAACTAGTTACAGATTTCGCGCAGCCGCCATATTTATGTTAACTGTACTATAAAAATATTACCTTAAGAAGAATTTACCATTCTTCGAAGATCTACAAACCACACACAAGTTCAAAACTACGTAGTTGCAGCGCTTATGTCATTCAAAACCTGCAAGACTACAGACTGTCATCTTAGTAATTATTCATGATTAGAAGTTACGGAGTTAAAAGTGTGGAGACAAACACAGACACGATGAAAAATAAGCCTGTCTTTGTATTACAGCAAAATAAGAAAATTAGAGTCAATAACAAACAGTATTTAGGTCTAACACAGGGATTCTCAACCAGGAGTGATTTCATATCTGCTGGCTATTGTGCAGAGTTTGCAAGTATCGTGAACCGAAAATACAATTTTGTCTGTAAGCTTTCATCTGAATACAAAATTTAGCCTGGCACATGTAACTTTTATGTGCACTGTTCTTTAAACCTTAAGTATTTCCTGTTTTTTATTACTAGTGGGGTGGGACTAAGTCCCTTGTACTGCGACCCCTTCTAGCCTATTGTACCAGCTCCAGATGATAGGTGAGGGTGATTGTGGAGCAGTTGGTGGAATGAAGATTTGCAAGGGAAACCGAAGTACTCGGAGAAAACCTGCCGCAGCGCCACTTCGTCCACCACAAATCCCACTTGACCAGACCCAGGATCGAACCCGGGCCGCCGCAGTGGGAAGCCAGCGGCTAACCGCTTGAGCTATGGCGAGGCCTTAAATCTTAAGTAAATTATATAAACATTGTAAAATCCAATATTGGAACGACGGTCTCCGTTTTTTACATTATTTCCTGCAAGCACATGCCCTTTCCGTAACTTGTGTTCGCTTTGTGCACAAGTAGAGTACACTAACTTAGAAATGGCATATGGCTTGAGCCATTTCTTTACACTCGTTTCCCATTTGTAACTGAATCCCCATGTGAGCAAGAAACGGAACAGTTATTCGAGGTGATGTATATATTTCTCTTTCTTCGGCATTTTCACTTTTTTGTGGTTCGTCTAACAGCAGAGTCTCTCAATCTGTCTCTGCCTTCCCAAAGTTACTCCTCGTTACTTACCTTACTTTCTCTTAATTTTCTCTGTGTTACATCTTCCTGAAACTGTTGTTCTCTCTTGAGCATTGGTGTTTTCCATCCATGTGAATGTTCAAAATAAATGTGATTCTGTCTTCATTTGCTCTTGAGACGAATGTATATTATCTTGTAAGATTTGAGGCTTTCACGGCGGTGACTATGAAGAAAGCAGTCTTCTGGGATTTGGCACCGTGTATATGTGGTGTTAACCGACGTTTCGGAGGAACGTATCGCCTCCATCTTCAG